TGGCTGCCGGCAGAGCCCGCGGGCACGCCACTGCAACCCCCTCTGGCCTCTGCTCCGTAGCTGCGGGGTGACCTCTCCTTTGGGGCTCTACTCAGCTCTTCCCAGGAGGGTGGCACGGTTCACCCCCCTTTGGTGGTCCTCCTCGGGTCCTTGTACTCTGGGGCCTCTGGATATCTGGGGCCTGGATCTCCTCCATACCTGCTTCATACCCTGGTGGACGGGGCTATGGCTCCCCACACTCCCTAGCAGATCGTTACATGGAGAAACCTTTGGAATACAAGCATGCTGATCCACACAGGTAAGCACACAGGTGTACACACGGGTGTTCACAGACGCGGACTACACCTTTCTCGGCTGCTGCCTCAAAGCACATTGTGCGCTGTTGCGTGCTGCACAATATCGTTTATTATTTAGTATCTACTGTTATCTACTGCTAGCTAGTTTATTGTGATGGTGCTGTTTTTTTTATTATTATGTTGCTCTTTGTTGTTTGCTTTCTCTTCTGTTTTTTTTCTCCATACAGGTGACCCAGGTGTTTTGTTTGTTTTTGTTTTTGTTTTTTTGTTTTTTTCTCTCTTCCCCCCCTTCTCACCGTCTCTTCTCCCCTTTGGTTTTCTTTCTCTCCCTCTCTTTCTTTCATTCTTTCTCCCTGTCCTATCCCCCAGTCATGTCTGTCCCATTTGTAGCAACTGAAAATAAAATAAATTCATACTTATAATAAAGGTCAATCAAATGGACCAATATGGCAAGGCCATGATGATCCACTTGGTAAAATAAATCCGCTTGGCATCTTTCTTGGCCTTAAGACAACAATTCTGATTTAAAAGTCCAGTGGCATTCAGGATAAGTCAGCTGATGTGCCGGTTTGCCAGACTGTGATGTTTTCTGAGGATTTGCCAGTAGATGGTGGCCTGTGCACATTATTTTCCAAACTGTACATGCTGCTCCCAGTGAGACACCTCACCTCTTGTAAAATCTCTAATCCGTATTTACAAACACAATGACATGTATACTGTGTCTGACTTTGTAAAGCAGGAAGAGAACTCAGAGGTAGGTATTTACTCCACTCTACCAAGTGAACCATTTATTCTCGCTGCTAGAATCCTGCACCAACAATAGTCCAAGTCTGTGCAGACTGTAGAGCACAAGCTCATGCTACACTTTCACTTCTTAAACAGGAATTAAAGGTGGTACACACAGGAAGAGCTCGGTGTTGTGAAATGCCAGTAAATCTGTTTAGTTCCTCTTAACACAGAAGTCTCATTTCTGTTTTTGTAAAAATATATATTTTGTGCTACTGATCCAGAAAATGGATGAGTTAATCATAATGATACAAGCAGACATGATGGGTATTGATCTTCAGCAAGAAAGCAGTTAAGCATGTTTTTAAAATGTGAATCTGTAGTGGAGCAGTAGAGCTTTTTATTAGAGTTTAGGATAAAAATAACGTAAGGAGAAAGCATTCAGTCTGTGTCTAAGTTTAAAATATTTATTATCTGCAACTTAAACTGCAGTCATAACACCGAGAAGAAGCTGCTCTGTGGGGGTGAAAATGAATGCCATTAATTTTGAAATTTTAATTTTGAAAACTTTAAAGTAAGGAAATTTATATTTGGCTGATTTATTTCTTTGATGTAATAATGTTTCTTGGCAATAAATATTACATGTTGGAAATCCTGTTTATTTCCCCCCTTAACCAATTCCATGTTCGTAAGGAAAGTACATTTGTGGCTTGAGCAGCAGAGTTGAGTATGTGGGTTAAACCATGAAAAACTTGACAAATGTTTTCTGCCAATGCCAAACTGGTTAATCTGCTATTGACTCTTGTTTTGACCCCCTGGTACCTGAGGTGCTGACAGCCAAGTGCCTGATTAGCAGCACCCATGAGCATGGACCTGCTACAGTGGTCAATTGGTGTCTTCACCTAGCAGCCCACATTTGACTGATCTGGATAGGGTCAATGCCATAGGGCAACTTCACCACCCTGTCAAGATTTGGAAACTGTAGGCTGTCCTGCAGATTTTCAGTCAAAGTTTGTAGGATGATATGGCTGGCAGCTCTCTACCCAGACAGTCTGGAATAGACTGAAGACAGCTAATCTCTGGTCTCATAGGTCTCATTCCAGTAGACCTGCCACGACTGCCCTTCACAGCCAGGCCTGTTTTCCACGTTATGACTGGAGGCAATCTCTTTGTAGAGCAATATCGAGATGGAATTCTGCAACCAGAGGCAATTCCATATCGCCACAGTCTAGGAACAAGCTCTGTCCTCCAAGATGACAATGCTCACCCCCACAGGGTGGGGTTTATCAGAGACTACCGCTGGAATTTGGGAGTCCATGTAATGGCTTACCTGCAGTTCTGACCTGAACCCCACTGAACACTTGTGGGATTTGCTTGGATGTGCTGTTCTTGCCAGACTGACCAATGAAACCACGCTGGCTGAGTTGAGACAAATACTGGCTTGTTAATGGGACACCATCCTACAGCAGTGTGTGAACAAGCTGGTGACCAGCATGAGGAGGAGGTGCTAGGCTTGTTTTGAAGGAAGGTTCAGAGGAGGTTGGAGATTGTTCCCATCATGGCTCATCCGGTCAAAATGAGAATGAACAGTCAGCAATCACTTGCAAGTTTCTCGTTTTATTGAATAATGAGCAAAAGAAAAGACACACATGGACTGCTGTTTCTGAAAAGACATAAAGTGTGATTTAAGTAACTCAAAATAATACATGAACTCAGTAGTATAAGGTGCAGTCCTTTTATAACGGGTGACAGGTGAATGCAATTAAGGGCAAGCACCACACCCAATCAAAGGTGAGGAAAAGAAACAAGGTGCATCTGGTGAAGTGAGTGTGCTGAAAGGTGAGCCTTTACAACAGGGGTGTCGAACTCCAGGCCTCGAGGGCCCGTGTCCTGCAGGTTTTAGATCTCACCCTGGGTCAACACACCTGAATCAAATGATTAGTTCATTACCAGACCTCTGTAGAACTTCAAGACATATTAAGGAGGTAATTTAACCATTTAAATCAAGGACACATCTAAAACCTGCAGGACACCGGCCCTCGAGGCCTGGAGTTCGACGCCTGTGCTTTACAACAAGGCTGTTGTGGCTGTGTATGGCTTTCCACATGCTACATGCTTTCATTAAATTAATACATTGTGAAATTATGATATATCTTGTTTCTTCAGACTTCAGTCATATCAATAAATGACACCAAACAAGAGTTAATTACAGCATAACCTGTTTGGCATTGGCAGAAAAGATCTGGGAAGCTTTTCATGGGTGCAGCCCACATACTCAACTCAACCTACTTGATGGGAAATAAACAAGCTTTCCAAAAGTATAAGATTTTTTGCCAAGAAGCATTGTTACAACAAAGAACAAGTTTCCTTACCTTTTGTGCTAAGTTTAGTTATAGGTGTTACTTCCTCATAAAAGAGCACCAGCTTGTTTTCTGGTCTTTCTCTCTCTTCAAACAAAACTGTATAATGATCGATCAATATGCACAAAACTCCACTCAGGGGAAGGTTGTAGCATTGTGTTAACACACACCTGAATGCTCCAGACCAGAAAACTGCCAAATGTTTTGCATTTATAAAGGTGGTTACACCTACTGATGATCAGTTAATCATGTGAATGTGATTAGCACCCCCTCAATGTTACTTGGCCTCTTAATTCCTATGGAAGCAGTAAGGGTGTGTTTAACTTTTTATAAACAAGACTTAAAAAATAGAGAAAATGGTTTCCTCTTGTACGTTACTGAAACTGAAACTATAAAACTACTGACTATAGCAGTAGTTTTATATGTCCAGCTAATTTTATGTATAGTGCCACATTTTCAGGAGGAATTGAACAACGGAGGTCTGTTCTCTCGCTATTTCACGACAAACTAAGAGAAACTGGAACATCAGGAGTTGATTCCAAGTGTTAAACATGCATTTGGAACTCTAACATTGACGTCCTAAAAGATGTTGATGCAAAAGAAAGACGCCATGATTAGGTTGAAAAGCAGAAAAAAAACTATTAGATACTTTGTCAGGAGTGGCCAAATCAACAGTCTGGTACATACTTAAAAAGAATGAATGCAATTGCAAGCTCAGCAACCACAAAAGCCCCAAGACCACTGCGCATGCTGACAGAGTTATTTCCATGGTTAAGAAAAACAAATCTAATGAAGTCAAGAACTCTCCAGTTTTATCATCATCAAAGTTTAAAATCAAGAGACATCTTCGTGCAGAGGGTTTACAACAAGGAACAAACCACTGGTTACACACAAGAACAGGAAGGCTAAATCACACTTCACCACAAAGCATCTAATAGAACCTCAAGAGTTCTAGGAAAAAAACATTTGGTCAGATGTAACCAAGATTAACTTGTAGCAGAAGGACACGAAGAAAACAGTATGAAGAAGGAGAGAAACAGCACCCCAAGCCAAACAACATTATTGAACACAGAGGAGGCAGTGTCATAGTGTGGGCATGTAAGGCTACCAGAAGAACTGGGTCACTAGTGTTTATTGAGGATAGATTGTTGATGGAAGCAGCAAGTGGAATTCTGAAGTGCACAGGGCTCTGCTCAGATCATCAGAGAGTGCTTCACAGTGCAAATCGATAATGATTCAAAGCATACTGCAAAAGCAACCCAAGAAGTCTGTAGGTCTTAGATTTCAGGCAGGCTGCAAAGGTTTTCATCCAAAGATGAAAAACATATACTAGTTTAGAATATACTAGGCTAGAAATACTTCTGAGCTTTTGTAAAATAAAGGACTATGCATAAAAACGATTATACTTCTTAAAGAGTTGATACAATACTTTTGCTTTCTGTGGACGTTTGATTTCTGAAACTAATTGTGGTGGACGAAAAGAACTAGGACACAGGAAACAAAACGAATCGTGTACCTTTGCCTGTTAACGTTGACCTCCTTGTTACCAATAAAAAGACGAGGCGTGTTTTTAAACCTGTAACGCCTGAAACATGAAATAACTGCCAGAAAATACGAATTTGTTAAAACCGGAGTGTTTATTATTTATTACATTTGAAAATTTACATTCATCATGTAGAGGTCTCAAAAACTGTGTTACAATTTACATGTAAAAAAAAAAAATACATGAGTCTTACAAAACTCCTTTAGAAATAGAATAAATTAAAAAGAAAAAAAATTCCCCGCTCGCGTGGAAGGCTGTGTGTAGAGGGTCTGTATTGTTGGTTCAGTTATGCCACTTATTATATCGTTGCCTTGAAGATCTGAGACGAATAACCTGGATTTTCAAAGAAACACACACAAAAAATATATATATGTACGTACAAGATACATTGAGGGAATTATGCTGGAAACAACACTGTCAGCTTTGACTGTAGGAAGAAATACCATCAGAGTTAAACAGGAAATGCAGTGCAGAGAAAGAGGGTGTTTGCCTACATTTTCTCAACAACATGAACCACATCAACCAAACTGTTGCATGGGTGCACATTATTAACTGGAGGAAGGCAGTGACATTTTTGACTAACAGGAAATGGGGTTTTCACACTAACTGGGTTATTTACTTAGTATTTAGAATATTAGAGATAACGTCAACAGTGACGTTAAGCCATTACTCTAATTATCTCTGTAATGTCTGTCCTCTACTAAAAGATATGCTCCTGGACTTCTTCATTAGTTAATTTGATTTTTGTACTAAATGAAATCAGGCATTATTAGTTTCTTCTTCACTCACCTCTTTTCACTCTCATGTTTATACACCACTCCACATTTAATCATTAGTCATTATCAAACTTCCCTGGCTTTGTGAGCCTGGTTTTGTGGTTTTGTGGTTTCTTCCTGTTTAAAGGGGGATTTTTCCTTCTGATTCTCATGAAGTACTTGCTCTTTACCTTGCAATAAAGTTGCAAGGTAAAGACCATTTTTATTTGGCCCGGCTGCAGCTCACAAGCTGCCAGCCGCACATGCAACACACCACAATACCCAACAATCCCTTCTTCCCTGTGTTTTTAACACGGCGGGCATGATCATACCATACACAGTCGTTTCTTCTGTTGCAGTGTTTACATTGTTGTGTTCACGTAATCACAAACATAAATATATTCTTGAAAATGTCTGTTTAGGCTCTCTTGACTTGTATACAAATTCTTTATTTTTACTTCTACAAAGTCTGGGAAATATACTCTAAATCTGTATACTACCATGCTTTTAAATCAAACAGTCAAGATTGAAGTGGCGCCTTCTATGTTAAATTCAAGGGGTTTAACAAAAGCATTGTATTAACTGATTAGGGATTAATTATTTTTATAGATAATCTCCCATTTTCAGAGGCTCAAAATTAATTGCACAACTGGCACAAGTTTCATGTACAGGTGAGCTCTGTTCCCCTGATATTTCTTTGCAAAATGAAGCAGACCTATCATCTAAAGCAGATTTAAAGTGTTGAATTTATGTTTATAGAGTTTTTCACTGTAATTTAAAATCTGAGTTCCAAAGAGATGTCAGAGCAGGGAGGCCATCATTAGGCCTCTGAATAAATTAAAATAAAAAAGACAGCAAAAAAAGTAGGAAAAGGACAAAACGGAAAAATCTGGTACATTCTTAAGAAGAATGACAATGAAGACAACTAAAGTAAAAAATCGCAGAATCGTTTTCTAGGTAAGATGAGCAACTTCACATGAACTAAGTGAATAACACTCTTGAGAATGTAGGCGTATTATTGTTAAAGTCTACAGCTGCCAGTGGAGCCAGGGTGTTTATTGATGACGTAACTGGTAAGTGTACGTAGCTACACTCTCCCCTCAGAATCAGCCAAATGCTGCAAAACTGATTCACTGTGGTCCACAGTGCAAATGGATAAAAACCCAACATATACAAAAAAATACCCCCAAGAGTTTTTTAAATTTGAAATTGGATATTACTCAAGAGCCGAGTCAGTCACCTGATTAAATACACCTGTCATTTAATACAAAACCAAACCCCAAAAGACTCGCAGAGAGCAGCAACTGAAGGCGGCTTGAGTAAAGGCCACGCAGAGCATTTAATGCAGATGACGGCGAGTGGAAAGACAAGGATTTAGTGATATGGCTTCTATACTTCTGTCAGTCGTTGACTACAAAAAATTGTTCATCCAATAATTAGAGGAATTCCTTATATTTGACATTGTAATTTTGCATCATGATTTGTGAGCCTCTGGAAATGGGGTATTAGGAAACAGCTAAACCCTTTGAATTGAACCTGAAAGCCTTCACTTTAACCACATCTTGAACTTTTCTAGGGCTGGTAAATAAAAGTAAGGACACTTAAAAACATATCTGAGTTTCGAAGTTAAAAAGTTGAATTTCTTCTTTACTTGTCTCTGTGTTTTTTCCACACAGTTCTAGTTTCAGCCTTATCTGTTTTTACCTACATATGTTTCCACCAGATGTGTTTCTAGGTCCCTAAAACCACAACGTTTTCAGACAGAATGCGTGAATGTTTCTTGATAAAAACTGATAAGACATAGATGTTTTAATTGTTTTGCTCCCTCAGCTCAGGCTACACATCCTACTTTAAATATCAGTTTACATGGAAGAAATTTTAGCTTCACCGCTGATTCTGTTTTGAAACCAGAAAAGACCGTGATGTTTGATTTTTGCAAGTGCGTTGAAAATCAAGTTTTATCCCTTTTCTATCTGTTTTGATTAAACTTAGCTAACTTAACCAATAATTCCTTTCTAAACTGTCTATGATGATTTTTTTGAAAGGCAACAATTTACTGTAGCAATCATGAGCCTGTAAATTACAGTTGGAGTCCTGTGTAATTCTCTGTTTGCTTTCGTTTCAATTTGTTTACTTTACATTTGGAAACTGTCTTCTCAATAAAAAAGACAGTACTAGTCATTCTGGTAGGCACTGCAAGACCAAAATGTGGTCAATTTTAGGGGCAAGGGGTCAAGTTGCTGACTGTGACCTAGGAAATGGGGGGAAATTAATAACTTTATTTTTATTATTTATGAAGGAGCAGGGATGTATGCACCAACAAAATACAGTTTTTTTTTTTAAACTACCAACAACGGTTGTTCTTTTCCCCAAAAATCAAAAGCCACATTACTGGAAACACTGAGGAAAATTCCCCAAATGAACAATGTGAAACGGTTTAATGTGTCATTAAGAGGTCATGAACAAATGTTTTTGGTTCAGCTGTTACTTAGAAGACTTAGCAACTGTCAAATTATTAAGTGGCTGTGACTTTAGAAGTCATCTTTGAATCTATTTACCCCATGGTGTCTGTGATCAGGCGCTAGTGAAATAGGCTTAAAACTGTTTAAGTATCTGAAGTGCTGCGTGTACCAAAATATCCCCTAAATGTTTTGAATAATTTCTCCTCTGTGTGCAGAAAAATAAAAGACTATATTTACCCAGATGACGATTAGAGACAGAACTATTTTGGCCAGGGCCACTGCTGCATAGCCAGCTATGCTCCACGTGACCGGCAGGTCCAGGAGTTGTTTCGGGCATGGCGGACTGGTCGGAGTTGTCATTGTTGTGTTCAAATAATTCAGTGTTGTCAGCGGAGCTGTGGGCACGCACTCTGTATTTAGACGACATAAAATAAAAAATCACTATAGCACAAAGTGAGGTTATTTACATATCAGTTTGAATTGATTTCAAATTACTTCCTGTAAAACTGTGATATCAGTTATGCAGAATTTCTGCATCTGGGTTACAAATGTGGTTTAATTAAACATTTTCCCATTAGAAATTTGTTTGCTTGAATTAATAAAAGAGCCTGGATGGAAAATATGCTCTTTAAATGTCACAGTGGAAATGGAAAAAATGTGATTTCTGGAGATGCTTTTCCTGCCTTTTGATGTGGCATCATGACAGTTTGCAGAGGTAAGGCGGGGGTTAAATTATGTAAGACTGTTAGATAGATTTAACTTCCTGAGACTTGTGTGAGAATTATATGATGCACTGGCTTTGATGCCACTTACACTTACAGGTCTGCTCAGTGGTGTTTTATACTTTGTTAAGCAATGATGACTTTATTGTGTTATAAAATCATTGTCCCATATGAGGACATATTTGTATATATATTTTACAGTAGATTTAGGTTTATCATATACAGTTTCATTAACACCTCATTGTACATTTATCAATAAATAAATTTAAATGAGCAAACATTTGTTCAATATTCACATTTCCTGATAAACCTTTAACATTCTGTATATCCTACAGAGCTTTAATTGCCCTGTACGAAGACGATGCTTTGCCATAATAAACTCGTTAATCATAAAGTCTGACTCTGTCTCTCAGGATCAACAAATATGTCAATACATTGTCTAGGCTCATATGTAGCTCAGTTCCAATGCGCTACCTGAGGTAGCGAAAACTCATATTTCTGCCAGCGATATTTAATTGAAAGCTTACCATTAACGATCAGGCTGACTTTGTGATTCTGGTTTTGACCCCCTACATTTGCGCTGATGGTACACTCGTAATCGCCCGAATCGGCAGGTGAAACCTTACGCAGAAGTAGATCCTGCTTCTCCCCAAATGTGACCTCACGAGAAAAGTTGTAGTACACTGGCTCCTCACCATTACCCCTCCTGATAATGCCATGTTTATTCCCATTGTTTACCTGTTAAATAACAAACACAAGCAGTTTTGATGTTTACAAAATTTGCATCTACAAAATACAATCTACACTTTTAAGCCTGAAGTAAATGACTAACCTTGTACCATGCCACAGAGAGGAAACTGCTGTCCTTTTCAGAAACTGGACACTCAAGTGAGACATCTTCATTGCAGCTTTTTTCGATATCGGTTTTACTCTGGCTCGCATAATGCAACAGCAACAGCTGAGATAAACAAACCACGGCGTTCAGAGAGAAGAGAGCTACAGTTTGAATATTTGGAAGCACCTGCAAAAAGTTTTGATGATGCTCTAAAATTCAGATTTAACTCACCTTGATGACCAATGTCAGCCTGCACATCTTTTACAAGTCAATCAACACTTAAGTTCACTCTAACAAGTGTTTCTCATTTTCCTTGAAAGTGAGTCATAGTTTACCAGTTTCCTGTAAAAGGGGCTTTTTAAGCCGAGCATGTTGATGGGAGGTATTTACTGAGTGGAAAAGCATGCCCCCATGTGGTGCAGTGTGTGTGTGTACCACAGTCTTTGCTGCCTTCCTGATTTCTTATTTTTTGCACATTTGTCACACTAACATGTTTTAGATCATAAAACAAAATTAATATCAGACAGAGATAACCTCAGTAAATACAGTTCATTTATTAAAGAAAAGAGGCTGTCCAAAAATTTTGCCCTTTATGAAAAAGCACACATGGTTTTTTCCACTCTCGTTAAATCGTAGATTAACTGTTTTTTAGAAAAGCTGAGTTCAGTTTCAGTAGCCATGTCCAGGTATGATTAATGAGAGAACTTCTGACTCAAGGAAAAGGAAAAAGCTGCACATCACGCCACCATCTGAAGAAACTCAAGAACATATATGAAACAAAGTCATTGATGTCTATCAGTCTCAATGCCACTTATAAGGCTTTGAGACTTCAGTGAACCATGCAGAGAGCCATCACTAATAGATGGAGAAAACTTTGATAAGTGGTAAGCCTTCCTATGAGTGGCCAGAACTAAAGAACTGATTGAAGCCTGAATTCTGCTCTCTACCAGGAAAAACGTGTCCAGCTGACTGTTTGCACCCTGAAACTCACGCACACCTGGATCATGCAGTAGGACAATGATCCAACACACACCAGCACAAAAAAAATAATAAATGAATAAATAAAACGAAGGTTCTGAAGTGGCCCAAGTCTGGACTTAAAACCTATTAAGTTGTTTTGGCATAACCTTAAACAGGCTGTTCATGCTCAAAAACCTCCCAGGTGGATAATTTAAAGCAGTTCTTTAAAGTGTGGGTCAAAATGTCTCCACAGTGATGTGAAAGACTCATTATCACAAAAGCTTGATTGGAGTTCTCTGCCAAGAGTGGCACAACCAGCTAGGGGGCAATTACTTTTTCAGATAGGGCCAGGCCAGTTCAAAACCTGAATTTTGTACTTAATTGTTTTATCTCTGTGTAACATTAAAATGTGTTTGACTGATTTTATGGTCACTGAAAGCGACTGCATTTATGAAGGCAGCGTCCAAAGCATGTCCTGCAAGGTGAATGGGGCCAAGCACATTCACACTCGGTATCGCTGTCTGTTAAAGTCCAGACAATGATAATGCTGCCTCACTTAATAGTCAAAGATAAAAAGTCCTGAAAGTCTAAGATAAAAAGTGCAGCAGACACAAGTGGATGATATGTTAAAATACCATACAAAGGGTTAAGTCATCCAATTTTGGTTTTCACCATCTGAATGGAGTTTAAAGAGATCATCTGAGATAAAAATGAATTTTTAAAAATAGCAGCAGCACCACTTCCTCGGCCAGAAATCTGAACAGCACCGAAAAAAAAGCAGCGTCGTGGACAAGGTTGTAAAAATTGTGAGACTTTGTTCTCACGCTGTCCTGCGTCAGAGATAAATATAAAGTCCAGCTTCTCATGTCAGATCAAGTCATTTTAGAATAAAATACATTTTTGATGATGCAATTTTTAAGAAAATACCAGGTGTATAATTTGAGGCAATGTGGGGCATTTTTATGTCAAGTTTAGCAGATTTATTGATCTCCCCCTACCACCACTTCCCCTGCCAGTGGCGGACTCCCTCAGACATCGGTGCGTTGGTGGTTCTTTGTGTCCGGGGATGGGCGTC